TGGGCCGTGAGATACAGGGGGGGGGGGGGGGGGGGGGGGGGGGGGGGGGGGGGGGGGAGGTTATGTTTGGATGGGAATGAGGGCGGTAATCTGGTCTCTCTGGTGGAATAGATGTGTCCACGTACGTAATGGAGGACATGAAGGTAGAAGGGCGGGAAGTCACAGAGCAGATATTAAAACAAAGGGCAAATTACACGGGAGTCACAAAAAGGAGTTATAATTGCACTATGAACCAAGATACAGTTTGCAATTGCACTTCGGGCAATGTATAAACCGGGTTATCTGGCCAGGTAGGGTGCCCGAAGTGCAATTGCAAACTGTATCTTCCCCCATACTGCAATTACAACTATGTTTTGTGATTGTACTGCAGTTACCCCTTAAACAAACATCCGAGCGGAGATGACAGTTAGGTGGTGGGAGGTAGAAGCAAAGATGGCATTTATACATGACCCTGTTGAAATTCAAAAAGCTATTGATAGCTTCTGCAGTGATTCCAGTCTATTGGTGGGGAATGACACCTGCTGGAAACCGGGTCTTGCATCCCTTACATATCAAAAAAAAAAATTGTAACACTGTCATTCGGGAAGGACATGCCTCTTCAGTCCCTCTTAGTGGACCTCCAGATATGCTACTACTAGAAAACATGCAAACGTTATTTTGGAAAGCAAAACAAAGAATATAGATTACTCCCCCTCCAAACCATACCATTGCATGTCCGCAAGAGAAAACTCAGAATGGGGAAATGGATCTGAGAAAATAGTTGGAGATCTGAGAGGGACTCCTGGACGCGGTGTGAACCATTCTCGAAAGGTGAGCTCCAGCACCCCTATCTGTCCTCTGCTGTGTGTAAAAAAAAAAAAAAAAAGGGAAACTACGTGCAGATCCACCGGTGGCCCCTAAGGGAAGCAGCGCTCCCAGGACCAGTACTCACACCTCTTCATAACACCATGAGCATACTGTCATCACAAAAACGTAGACAGGAGAGTCTTTTTGCCCCCAAGTTGGGTAAGGGCCCTGGTAATGAACATAATCTTTCTATGAGACTCCGGTTTCCAGTAGGTGTTGCTCCCCACTAATAGATACGAGTCATCTGGAGGCGGTTCTACCGGGGGGTGTCATTACGACATGGCTCGTGCGATAGTGCTTCAATCAGGGCTGGGGAGGGAGGTGAGAACCGGCTTAGCCCTGATGCCTATAAGCGCTGTCCGGTTAAGAGATCACTAGAATGTCAGTGGGTGATGCTCCTGGGGAGGAAGACATATACCGTCAAACTGAGTTGCTCAGAGAGGGAGAAGAAGTCATTGTCAACAGACAAGGGGCTGTGATAGACTGTTATGTCGTCGTTTCACCGACTCGTCAGGAGGCTGAACCATATTACTCTTATAATGTGCTTCAACTGTTGTTTCCTGCCAAGCAGCAGAAAGGTTATCTGTGAGACATATCATGCAT